GTTACAAACTAGTTTTCTCTCACTTTGAAAATGAACAACGTATTGTTATTCATGTTATTGTAAAATGTCCCAATGCAAGTTTGTACAATCTGACATAAAGTTCGAATATTATACGAAAATATTTTGTCAAATACGTCCTATACTTCAAAGGACTCAGGTGTAAAGACGAATAATGACCCCCACCGAATAATGACCCCCGGTCAATATTCTACGGCGAAAAATGACCCCCGGTCATTATTCGACGTCGAAAAATGACCCTTTTGCCAATAGAAAAAGTGTCACCATCCTAAAAATTTGCAGAACCCACGTGAAGAAAAATGACTCTTTTCCCCCTAATGCATTACATCCTTTACCCCCTGATGCCACCATTTGACGCTATGCCCCACTTCCCTGTTGACGACTTTTGACGCATACACACAACAACCCTAAATAGCTCTGTGATTTCCCCTGTTTCTAATCAAATTCAGCTCTAAATAAAAGCCAAACATGTGTATTACACATTAGGTAATGTTACTATATTTAGTGAAGTCACAGCTTAGTGTGAATTCACGTGAGATTTACCGGTGTGAAAAAAATGGCACCCAGTCTGTTCACAAGAAAAAATTGGGCCTTGTCACAAGCAAAATTCAGCCCTAATACATGTAATGCATTTTATGTAATATACCTTGGGATGTATTAGCATTCACAATGTTTTAACATTAATTCTAAAGTTGAATTTAATAGAAATAAAATTTTACAATGAACATGATGAAAATTAGAAGGAAAAACTTCAGAGAATTTTTAACAAGAACAACAATGGCGGGCACAGATTTTCCATGTGTTTTATGAGTATGAAATACTCTACTTTAAGCATTTTTTTTTCATCAGGGCATTGATTAAGATAAATATTAATTTATTTCCCCCAAGAGACTTTTGCAAGAAATGGTCAAATAAATAAATAAAATACAGCAAAACTCGGTTATAACTATGTCGCTGGGACCTTTGAAATTACTTCGCTATATCCGAATTCGCTATAACTGTATAAGAAATTCATCAAATTTTTATAGTTGGGGATCGAAAATGACTTCGCTATATCCGGGAATTCGCAATATCCGTGTTCGTACTAAACGAGTTTTACTGTATTTATAAACAACATGTCTGCATGAACATGATTGTGAAGTTTAGTTGGCTCTAGTCTAAGATAATAACCTATCATTATTAATCTAACTTAATTAATAATAATTTTGAAAAAAAATGAGCCTTTTAAATGGTTTGGTATTATATGTTTGGTTTACTGGTATGTTTTATAGAAAATTTCTCTCATAGTGAGGATAATAGGAAGATTAGTTGTGAAAATTTCATTTTACCTGGTTTCACCTATATATTGCTAATTGTAGATTAATTATTCTTAAAAAAATGTATGGCAATACTAAAGTTCAATCCATTCCCCAAACATTGATATATAATATGTGACACTTTGATTATGTTAAAGTACTTAATTATCATGCTGTAAATGTAATGGTCAGTCATTTCAAGTCAGTCAAAATGGCTTCAGGGGGCAGCCAGATAAACACTCTTGGGAAATCGCAAGTGCGTCAAATGGTGGCAACAGGGGGAAAAGAGATAAAGCTGAATTTTTTTTTGGGGGGGGGGTAAAAAAAATGAGATAAAGAAGCATATTGGACAAAATGGTCACCTGAGCTAATTTGGAATAAATTGATGATATGTTGATCTCATAACAATTTTACATTATACAATTATAGCTATATTTTAAGGTCAATGCGATGATTCAGAATCTAAAGGAGTAAAAGATTTATCGAGCCTAAAGGGTTAGCTAAACATTGTTTTTCGATGGTGGAAATCATCGTACTGACAGAAAAAATCACCATATTATATATTATTACATGTATATCCTCCGCTTGAAAAGCGGGAGGGTATATAGTGATCGGGATGTCCGTCTGTTACGCTTTGGGGATCAATCTCTTATCCGCAACTGCTCTTATATATAGAAATATGTGTTTGTGAAACAGCTATGCCCCTGTATGGCAACATAGCGACGATTACACTGTTCTTAAATGGAATTTAAATATATTTGTACCCAAAGTAGGGTCTTCTCACAAAAACTACAGTTGCAAAATAGGAAAGCCCTAGCACCACTTGTTCAAAAGTAACGGCTTAGGATAAGTTCTTGAAAGGTAGATCAAACTCAAAGGTCAAAGGGTCAAAGTTGATGGTTTCTGAAGAAAGATTTAATGTAACAAGGATTACATATGTGAAGTATGAAAACCCTAGCCCGTACCGTTCAAAAGTTATAGCCCAGGTTAAAAAAGTTTTTTCATAAGTACGGAAATCTTCAAGTTAAGGTCAAAAGGTAAAAGTTTTTAGTATCCAATGAAAGGTCATGCCAAAAAATACATATGTGAAGTATGAGAGTACTAGTATCTACCGTTTAAAAGTTATGGCCAAGGTAAAAATTTGGCATTTTTGTGTAAAATGGGACAAACTCCAAGGTAAAGGTCAAAAGGTCAAATTTGGTGGTACCCAAAGTAGGTCTTGTCAAAAGGAATACACATATAATATATGACAGTCATAGCTCCAATAAATGAAAAGTCATGGTCTATGTTAAAGTTTTTGCGGACAAACAGATTGCCAGATAGATAGACAGACAGACATACAGACGGACACGATAAAATTATATACCCCCGAATCTTCGATTACGGGGATATGAAAAGAGATAATCTTCAATTAATTTTTCATATTATGATACAGTATAAAGAAGACGTTTAAAAAATGATAGGTTTGTTCTGATTTTCATATTAAATTCTCTGAAAAATATTCTCAGAACTGAGTAAAAGGGTGGGGTAAAACAAGAATGGAGAATGTAATGAATACTGTGTGCTATATCAAAAGGTTATATTTACATGTATAGTTTTTTTGCATTAGAATGTGTATTTTACACTAGCCCATAGCTTTACAGAGTATATTTTTGGTGTTATACCCACCCCACCCCCTTACTTATTGAGGAGGAAGTCGATTATCAACAAAAGCAACAATTAAAAAACTACTCTACCTTTATTTTTCTATAAGGAGGGACTAAAAATAAGCTTAAAATAATATACTATTCTACTAGTTTTCAACTGTTACTTTTCCACAATACTTTCAAGTATACCCCCACCAACATTTAAAGTATGCTTTAATCATGGCGAAGGAAATTATGATATGATAGTACTTGTGTGAAGGCTTAACTTCATTTCAATATTTTATCTAGAGTCTCTTTCAGTATTATTGAAAGGTATAAAGTTTTATGTATATTTTTGATTTTCATTTTTTTTTTATTTAACTTAATGTTTTTTTTTGGGGGGGGGGATAAAAATTTCCTCCTCTTTCATTGTCAAATAGGATTTGCCAAACTTATACAAGCTAAAAGTTGAAATGAAGGAAAAATTAATTTTTCCAATTAAAGAGTATTTAAACTTGATTGTTGCATGGTTTGATTTCTAAAAACAAGTGAAATATCATTCTTTAAGCAAACATTAAAGGGAAGAATATTGAAAAGAAATTTTATTTACTTTACAATTAAAGAATGTCTTTTCAAACACAATTTTAGCGTTGAAAGACAACGTGAATCTCTTAATTTTTAATTTCTCCCTTGAAAATGTTCATTGCAAGTCTGGTTGTTCTACCTGGAAGGGGGGGGGGGGTTAAAAAGAATATGTATTTGCAAAGATTTAATATCTTTAATCATATTGTGATAGTCTGCATGAGTAGGATGGACCATATGAAAAATAAACAGCATCGAGGCGTCCTGTCATCCATTTCTATTTTTATTCACTCGTCCGAATGAATCCTTATTAATTCGAACAAATTACTTATATGTACGCACTGATATCAATTCGTCTGCTACAAATTTCTACTATTTCCACAATTTTTTTTTTTCCGAAACAACGTAAAGAAAAAACATTTTATTCATAAATTTCATCTTCAGCGTGCGTTTGATCCATTTACATGTACCATCTTTGATTTTCTAGGTTTGCTCCTTTATGAGAGAAATGAAGATTAATTGATTGATTGTTAATTGCCAATTTATTAATATTTCGACAGAGAGAAATGAGGAACTTTATTACCTCTACGTGCTAAGAAGAACAAAGATCAAATCTATTCGAACAAATGCATGAATTACTCGAAGGAAGAACAATTATAACCCTAACAAAAAAAAATATTATAGTTAACTATAGTTTACATTAGTTAACTATTATCAAAGTGTCAAAGTTTTCGTCAAAGTTTTTCAAAGTGTGAAAGTTTTCGCCAAAGTTTTTCAAAGTGTCAAAATTTTCGTCAAAGTTTTTCAAAGTGTTAAAGTTTTCGCCAAAGTTTTTCAAAGTGTTAAAGTTTTTGCCAAAGTTTTTCAAAGTGTTAAAGTTTTCGTCAAAGTTTTTCAAAGTGTCATAACTATCACTATAGTAAATCAAAGTTTTCAAAGTGTCAAAGTTATCACTATAGTTCAGTACAGTAAACTATAGTTAAGTATAGTTAAATATAGTATTTTTTTGTTAGGGAATACACAGCATTTTTTTTCCCTTTCACCTGTTATAAATTTTGTATCACTTTAAAGGGGGTCATTTTTCAATGGGGGTCAATTTTTTATAGGACTCACATATAAAATAATGACCCTAGGACTCTTTTTCTACAAAAAATGATTTTTTTTCTACGGGTAGGGGATCATTTTTTGTCGTTGAGAAATGACCCCTGGTCACTATTCGATTGGGGTCATTATTTGTCTTTACACCTGAAATAATCTGAATATTACAACTTGATATAGCATTTTAAATTTACTTAAAAATTAAAACAATTCTAAGTCCATCATTCCTTGATTATAGTATACAAAAATGCAGGGCAGGAATAAGTATCTTATTCACATATAACATATTCCTGTTGAACCTTATTTAGTCCATGCTATTTTTGTTACAATGAAAACAGAATATTTTAACATTTCTTTTTAACATTTCTTTATTTATATCTGCTGAACATTCACAACATAAAACCAGAAAAAGACGAGTATTCTGCGGAAACAGATGTCAATGATCTAGAATTATTATCAATCCAAGCTTTATCCCCGACTACCATTTTCACGACTGTCATTTTACTGCAAGAGCTACGCAATGAGTGGTTGTTGTTATGGCAATAGCTGTAAGCCTTTCTTTTACCATTTAAGACTAGAGAAGTATAAGCGTATTTGTTTTGGGGCGTCAATATTGTCCACTCAAAGACATACACCCCCGATTTTGGAGCGTTAAAAAATCCTTTAGTGGCATTATAACCACCTCCTATATTCAGATTTACGTCTTGAAACATCACAGTCTGACGCTCTCTTAATGTCTGGGTACTTCCTTTAGCTTGAGCATAAAATGCTATAACAATGTTTCCTGAGAAAAAAAAACTGAAATATTTTATATAATGTTTAATGTGGTCAGTGCACAATATTTGATAAGAATATTATGTAACTATAATTTACTAACTTTTAAACTGATTGTATTTGCAGTAATTCTTAACATAACCAACAGCCTCACAGGTTTTAGCGACATTGTCATAGTCATCTCTGAAGGATTTAAGACTCGGGCCGGGTGAAATCTTCTCAGTCGAAATGGTGCCGAAAATCGCACCTAATCCAACAGCAAATACGACTGAATGCATTCTATATAATTTAAGATATTAAACGATGAAAGACACATTTTGATAGATTACCTCATGTAGCATGTTAATATTAACTGACTGAAGTTGATGTTATAAATTTAAATCGACACATACACAAAGAAAGAGCTATCACAATAAGCATTTAATTAAACTCATTTGACATTGGAACTTATTTCATATTTTTTATCGAAAAATCTCAGTAGTGATATTTCTAAAATCAATAATTATAGGATTTCTAAATCTGGATATTTCTTTGGAAAGTTCAGAAATTAGATTGCAATCTATTTGATATTTCAGTTATTTTTTAATAATCAATATTTTTTCTCAGTATACCGCAAATTACAAATGTTTAATTTGGTGGTTGTGGGGGCTTTGATATTCTATAAACTCTACGCAGATCTACAATTTGTTTCTCTAAAATCAATCTAGATTTAATTCTATAGTTATTTATATTATGTGTTATTTTTCTTACCTGTTATTTGTGGCAATAGGTATTTAGTTTTATCTCCAGTATAAAAATGCTACCACCTCCTTCTGATATCCTTATATATATTTAATGTAAATACAATGTAGCGTGATACCATGCCATTTGAAATATTATACCCAAAATTAATCGATTTTATCGAAAATTAATATTTTGTTTGTACATTCACCAAAGTGCATGAAAAATGTAAATCGATGAAATGTTACAAAAATATATTTAAAAGTCGAATTTTTTACGCCGTAAAAGCAATTACATTTATCAAGAAATTGATGTTCATTTTAATCTAACCATAGATACGAATGTTTGTTAACACGATATGAAATTAGAAGTGATTGTGATTTATGGAGCTTTGCAATGACAGGAGAATCTTTGTACACATTGCATTGTAAAATGATCAGAGTAAATAAAGGAAATTAAAGTTCATAATAGGTGCGCTTATTTATAAACCGCTTCGCGATTTATTAAGCCGTAAACTGCCTCAAGTTATGTTATATCGTAAAACAAAAGTTGATATAAACTTCATTCCTAAAAGAATTATATGTATCATATATTTGGCTGTACTCTGTAGCAACGTGTTGAAAATGATACATACAAACAATCAAGTTCTAAATGTATAGAGATTAACTGGTGCAAATGCAAATGAAATTGACAAAAAAGATGATTTTCTGTTAACCATGCAAATAACACTTGAAAAATTGTCAGAAACTATATTTTAGTGGCATGTTGAGCATTGGGATTTCTTAGAAAGATCGTGGGGCACTGGGATGCATGTATGTTTTTGGTCGTGTGAATTCAGAGTAACGCATTTGAATAAATCTGATTGTTTAATGAAGGAGAGTATCATACAACAATAAACGAACTGTAAGCTTCCTAGAAAATAACATAGAAGAGGATAATTAATATTCTTATCTTGTTATCATGGGGAAGAAAACAATGGAACTGACGTATGTCCTGATATACAAATATATTAGAATTTTTACCTTAAATGTTTGTCTTAGCTCCTTTTTAATGAGTGTCTTTAAACGAATTAAATCTCCTGAAATATTCAACTATAATTTCATATCTTAGTAGTATGAGAAACAAAACAATGGGACTGACACAAACATCCAAGCTAAAAGTAGGAAAGAAATTCGGGATTTCGCAATTCTAAGATCAGGAAAGAAAACGAAAGTAAACCCCGAAAACAATACTTTAATCAGAATATTTAACACCAATGGAAATTCTCTCTTTCTTGACAGCTTTACTCTGAGAATTGTTTCTTGATAACAATTTTCACCTCAGGAGCTGCTCTTAATAAACACATAAACGGCTATTTCTTGGGAAAACAGCACACATGGAGGCAAATGATATTAAATCCCGCATATTCGATAAATATTTTAATCGTATTATTTGAACATAAATTTAATTGATATTCGACAAAGCTTGATATTGAATGAAAACACAAAATATAACCTTTTCTCCTCCAAAGCAAAGCAAATTGTTACAAAGAACTACAAGATAACATTTATGCAAAGTAAGAATGAAGGATAATATCGTAAATTACGGCAAATATTTTGTTTGCATAAAATAAATAATAACAATTATGTCAAATTTTAGTCAAGGCGATCTTCAACAAAATGTGAAGCATGTTCTAATGTTTGCCTGATTCTAATATACGAGTAACAATCATTTTGTAATTAACAGCAAACAGAACATAGCCATATGATAAAATCAAAGCTCTAACCGGCACATGCGTATGTTACATCAACACTAGTACTATTGACAACACATTGTGTTAAGGCGTATCAAGAAGCAAATACATCATGTACATAGCAGTATAAAAGTTCAGTATGGTTGCAATTTATTCACATAACATAAATAACCAAAAAATTTATTTTAGTTTTAAAAAGTGTTTTGAAAAGCATGGTAAGGTGAGTTAAGGGATTAAATATCTTATTGGTGTATAAAGAATAAGCTAAAAAAAGAATTCATACATAAATTAAGTTGTAAGCATGCAAAAAACGTATAAGAATAGATCAAATTAATTTTCAAAATCTGATGTACTGCTTTGACAAGAATGAAATAATGGTAATATAGAAATAGTATAGTTCTTTAAAGTCTGATTTAGGAAAGTTGTTTGAGACTTAGATAACTTAAAAGCACTTACTGTGCACGACAGAAGGACCGAATTCGTCATATTCTTGCTTGCTGATCCACATTTGTTGAAAGGTGGAGAAGGAGGCAAGGATAGAACCGCCCCTAGACGGAATACTCCCTTTCAGTTGGAGCGATGATCTTAATCTTCATTGTTGTAGGAGCTAAAGCTGCGATTTCCTTCTGCAGACGATCAGCAAAACCCAGAAACATGGTTGTTCCGCCCGATAAAACCGTATTTGCGTACTAGTCCTTTCGAAGATCAAGATCACATTTCATTATGTTATTGAAGATAGTTTCATGCACACCAGAAGATTCCATTCCAAGGAAAAAAGGTTGAACCAGGACTTCAGGGCACCGAAATCTTTCGTTACCAATGGTGATAACATGTCCATCAAGAAGCTCGTAATCCTTCTCAAGTGAAGAGGATTTTGAAGTGGCTTGCACTTCCCCTTCAAAATCCATAGCAACAAAGCAGAGTTTCTCTTTAATGTCCCTGACAATTTCTCTTCCAGCTGTAGTTGTAAAGACGCAAACATGTTCTCCGAAAATTCTCATAAGATATTCGGTGAGTTCCCGTGCAGCAAGATCTATTCTCATGACAGCGTGTGGAAGGGCGAAGCCCTCATAAATTGGTACTGTGCGTGTGACACCCTCTCCAGAGTCGAGTACAATTCCAGTTGTTCGACCGGAAGCATACAAAACGAGTACGGCCTGTGTTTCCACGTACAAGCATGGAACATTGAATTTTTAAAACATAATCTGTGTCATTTTTTCTCTGTGAGCCTTTGGATTAAGTGGGGGTTCAGTCAAGAGAATTGGATGTTCTTCTGGATTTGTACGGAGTTCATTGTAAAAAGATTCCAGATCATCTCCATACCATCCCAATCGGTTACAATGCCGTGTTCAATTGGGAGTTCCAGAGTGAGAATGCGCCTTTTACTCTGAGCCTCCTCTCCTACATAGTTGACTTTCTGTTCTTTGCCAACTATCACTTCCTAAAATTTATTCATTTTAAAACAAGCATGAGGTGATTTTATTTGCCCTTGGTACAAGAAAATGATTTATCATAAAAAAAGATTATAAAACAGGCTCATTGTTTTCGAATACAATATTTATAAAGGTAGTGCTAATTGCACAGGGAATTGTTAAAGATGTTCCCCAACCCCCAACCCCCTTCCACATTTCCTGCAAATTTTATCAACCTAGGCAATTCTGTAGTTCAATAAACCTACAGAATTTTCATTGGCAAATCAGATTTCAGCGTACGTGATTACCCTTTGTAGATAGTTCATATATATTTCATCGATAATAGATAAATATACCCTTTGTAGATATTTCATAAATATTTCATCGATAATAAATAAACATACCTATGTGTGAAATTTCAAAGATATATATGGAGAACCAAGAAAGTTATAGGCATGCTAAGTTTAAGCCAATCAAATTGCAGCTTACGTGCATGCGCATGATTTCATAAAAAATCTCCAGAACTCCATAACTTATGAATATGTTGAGACTATATAATTTCAATGCATTTTGTCAAAAAAAAAAAACAAACAAGAAAGATATTGAGACGTCTGTTTAAGTCAATCAGAGCGAAGTGCACGCACATGCTCGTAAGTTCATGCTGTTTTGATCACAGCATCGTGTCTTCAGTATTAACATATTCTTATATTATTATTATTATGAGTTTCAAAGCATTTCATAAAAAATGTGAAAGTTATATATGGTATACTGGTCATTTCACATGATGCACGTGCGCGAACATGCAAGCCCGTGTGGGCAAAATAACATTCTTTCTGCAAATCTACATAACATTTCTATCAAACTTAAAAAAGTTTTCAACTCAATTAGACTAGTAGTATAAGAGATCATAAGGGGCAAATAAATACCTATGAAGACAAATAAAAGAATAACAATAAGAAGAAGAAACTGCGTAAAAACAATACATCCCTAAACGTCGCGTGGAAAACATAATTAAGAAATATATAACTGGTATTCCCTCAAACATCAACAGACAAGTACATGTGATCTCTCTGAAACGTTGGTAAATTTATACGCACAATGTACTTTAATATATTTTTATATTATAAATCGAATAATATAATCATACGATATTTTTCATACTTTATCCTACAGGAGTTCATATATAACCTAATATGTACTATTTAAAAACATTATTTGTTTTGAAGTCAATTATAAAAGAAACTGAGAATAGAAAAATGGAAGACACGTAATATGGGGATTAAAATATTATATATATTATTATATATTAAATATTATATATATTTTATATCAAAAGAAACAATGATTTTAAGAACTTCAAAGTAGTTGAATACAAAGAAATATTCATAATAAATTTATTTTTATCTGATACCTGGGGTGTGCAACAATGGAAGAAAACACGACTTTCGGAGCCTTCTCCCATCAAATCCAGCTTTACACATTCCTGATCCATTGTCGATAACTAATGCTGCCTCGTCTTCGTCGCCCATTCTTGAGATTTTGACAGATTTTTTAATGTCTCTATACAAACATATTATTC